GGGGGGGGGGGACACACTCTCTCACACACACACTCGAGACCTTATTTCACGCTCTCCCTCTTCATAGCCATTTCACGCAAACCCTCCACGCCCTTCCTTCCTTCCTCCCCCCCCGCCACCCCGCTTTCTGTTTAAAGCGAAGTTTAGAAGATGCTGTTTAATTTTTTCGTTCTTCCTTTTTTCCTTCTTCTTTTCCGCCCTCCAAAACGAAAGCTTAAGATTCTCCCCCACCCCCGCCGTCCTTTTAAATCGTTCTCTCTTTGTATGGAGATTTAAAACAACTTTGCCTGTCCGGCGGGGTTTCTTCCCCCCCACCCTCTCTCACTCAGGCTCTTCTCCCCCTTTTAAAGGGAATTTTTTTTTGCAGATTCTTGGTTGCCTTTAAAAATTATTAAAAAAAAACAAAAACCACATCTCTCTTACATCGGGCCGGGATTTTCCTCCAGCGACTCCAAACGTCCCAATTTTCCGCCTTCCTTTCTCCTCCGCCCCCCCGGCCGAAAATGTTTTTTGGCAGCGTGGGAGGCGAAGGGCCAACTTCCAATTTGCCTTCTCTGCAGCAGGAAAGGCGACCCAAGTTTTTTTTGGGGGGGGGGGGGGGGGGGGAAAGGAAAGGAAAGGAGTCTCTTATAACCATCCCAACCTCGCAAACAAGTTTCACGTGCGAAAAGAGCTTCGGCAACTCACCACCTCCTCCCCGCAGGATCGGCTCCTCCGGGGCTCGATCTGCTGATAGGCACCAGGTTTGCTGGGTTTTCAAGGAAGAAGAAGAGCCTTAAGAAGAGGCATGGCTTTGCAATCCGCCAGCGCAGAAAAGCAAGGAAACTTCCATGGCTTGTATTTGGCGGACAGGAGAGGAGGGGGGTAGGGGAAGAAAAAAAAAAGCCCTCCAAGGGAAAGAGAAAACCCACCCACCCACCCCCGGCCCCAAGCAAGGGGGCAAATAAAACGTGCTCTCCCCGGGATAGTTGGTAAACTTCCCCGGCCAGACCCGCTGGGAGGGAGGCTACTCCGCGCGGCGCTACGCTCTCCGGCCGGCCGGAGCCCTGGAGCGGAAAGTAAAACGCGACCTGGATTCCGCCCCCCACTTCGGAGCGGGATTGCTTACTTCTCCCAGTGCAAGCCAAGGCATTATTCCGAAATGGACTAGCAGCGGATTTAGTCAGAGCCTCCCTTGTGACAGGATCGGGGTGTGTGTGTATGTGTGTATGTATGTATGTATGTATAAAATAATATTTTCAGCCCAGAGACTTGCACCCACCTGAGCTTGGATTTCTTGCCTATTAATGGAAACAGGAATCTTAAGGAAATGAAACTAATTGGATTAATTTAATTTAATTAATTTAAATTAATTTAATTTTGATTAAGGGGGTTGGTTGGTCTCTCCCTTTTTGCACCCTGGCCAATTCTCAAGTGGCGGTCTGCATAGTGGACATTTCATACACAGTGGGCTTTTTTTTTTCTTCATAGAAGAAACAGTCCACCCAGTGTAACAGAATAGTATCTTAAACTATAAAAACATAGATTTTAATAATTTAGAACAGTGTTTTTCAACCTTAGTAATTTTAAGACTTCAATTCCCAGATTTCCTCAGCTGGCACACTTTGAATTTCAATCTTACAATTGCTAAGGTTGGGAAACACTGGTTTAGAATGAGTTGCCATGGTAGGATGGAACAACGTGTTCAAGAAATTCCCCAAAAGGAGATGCTAAAACATATCTCAAAACAATCCCAACATAGAAAAAAAAAGGAATGTAGCAGCAGAAGAAATCTGACTACATAAACAAAATCTAATAAAGTTTTAAGGACACCCAACTTTAGATAGGATTGGACACATAGCAGGGTGATGGAAAATGGAACTAGTCCTATTTTCTCCTTGATGGGTTCAGTTGCATTACAAGTAGATTTCTAGCCAAACTTTTTACTGAGGCATACACTGCAGTCCCTTCTCCTCTTCCTCCTTCTCTTCACAATTCTGGAAATAGGATAGTGAGATAGTACTGAAGAAGACTCCTTTTATACGTGATATATATTCTATTTTCTTTTAGTTTTAGTTTCTTTTATCCCACCTAAATAACTCCAGGCAGTGCTCAGACCTAATATTCTGTCTTTCTCCTATTTTTTCCCACAGCAACAACCCTGTGAGGTGAGTTGCGCTGAGAGACAGTGACTGACCCAAAGTTACCCAGCTGAAGGTAGAACTAGAACTCCATCTCCTGGTTTCTAGCCTGGTGCCTTAACCATTAGATCCAACTATGCTATTGGCATTCCAGAAGCTTTCAACAATAGAATTGTTTCAGGGAGCCTGTAGAAGTACTTATATATTATTTTACATTTTGAAAAATTTGTTTTACAGACTTTTAATGCACAGTGGTACCTTGGTACTCAACAGCTTTGAAACTCATTGAATTTGATACTTGACATATTTTGATATGGAAATTTTGTTCCAGTACCTATTTGTTTGGTACTGAATACACAAGAACTTGCTGGTAAGCCTTGTGACTTACTACATTATTTCTCACAGGAAAAAAATGTTTGATATTCGTAATTTCTGGTACTAATCATACCTCCTAGAACCAATTAATGAGGAGTACCGAAGTACCACTGTAGTTTGCTGCAATTTTACTATACTATTATCCCCATATGGCTATTGTAAACTACAGGGTTAACAATAAATCACTGACATGTATTCAGTAAGAATTTTAAAGTAGAATAAAGAAGCCGGAATGAACTCTGACATGGATATAAACATGATGACTATTCCCTCTAATGAATTTCACTCTGCAGACCCTAATAATTCTGAGCATCTGGAAGTCTTGCTAAACATTTACCGTTTGTCATTGCTTCTCAATTTTAGCAACTTGACTACACACATATCATACCGGCTTGCTAATCAGAACATCTTGAGGTCAGTGATGGGATTCAAATTTTTTTACTACTGGTTCTGTGGGCATGGCTTGGTGGGCATGGCAAGGGAAGAATACTGTAAAATCTCCATTCCCTCTCCACCCCACTAACCTGCTTTCCAGCTCCATTCTTCTGTGCAGGGCAACAAAAGAAGACCCAGCCAATCAGCTGGGACTTGGGAGGCAGAGAATAGAGGGGGTGGGGCCAGTCAGAGGTGATATTTGCCGGTTCTCTGAACTACTCAAAATTTCTGCTACCGGTTCTCTAGAACTGGTCAGAACTTGTTGAATACCACCTCTGCTTGAGGTGCAATGGATGTTACCCTATAAAAATGTGTTATAGTTGGTCTGGCAAGACGTATTCTTGACAAATTCATGCTAACTTCTCATAATTAACACAGTGATTTTAAAAGTATTTATAAATCAGTCATATAATTATTTGTTCTAGAATCTACCCAGCTACTGTCTTAGGCTAACCTTTCCCTTAAGATAGAGGTGTCAAACTGGTGGCCCGCAGGCCGGATGCGTCTTGCATAGGCCACATTGACTCCAGCTCCGCAAAGGGAAAAATGTCACAAAACTGTCATGTGCCAGCAGCATGACACACTCACACAGCGAGTTTGACACCCATGCCTTAAGAGTTCCCCTTTTAAAATTTGTTGAAAATAGGGGTATGTGTTCATTCGCATCTGAAGAGAAAGGTAAAAACATGGAAGAAAACACCTTATTGATTTCAAACCTTCCTTGTGGACACTGCTGCATGTAATGCATCTTCAGTCAACTGGAATTTCATTTATTAATCATGGTGTCTCAACCTTGGCAAATTTAAGATGTGTGGACTTCAACTCTCAGAACTTTGGGAGTTTAAGTCTTCACACATTAAACAGTGGTGGGATTCAAATTTTTTTACTACCGGTTCTGTGGGCGTGGCATGGTAGGTGTGGCGTGGCTTGGTGGGCATGGCAGGGGGAAGATACTGTAAAATCTACACCCACTCCAGGGGAAGGATACTGTAAAATCTCCATTCCCTCCTCACTCCTGGGGGAAGGATACTGCAAAATCCCCATTCCCTCCCCACCCCACTAACCTGCTTTCCAGATCCGTTCTCCTGTGTAGGGCAACAAAAGAAGACCCAACTGATCATCTGGGACTTGGGAGGCAGAGAATAGATGGGGGCTGGGCCAATCAGAGGTGGTATTTTCCAGTTCTCTGAACTACTCAAAATTTCCACTACTGGTTCTCCAGAACTGTTATCACCTTTAAAGCCCTTAATGGCACAGGTCCAGGTTATCTGAGGAACTATCTCACCCCAATGGGATTGGACTGCCTCACCAACCCTGTCAGAAAGGGCATACTGCAGACCCTATCCATCAAGGAATTCTGGCTGGAGGGTCCTTTTTCTGCTGTGGCTTCTGCCCTCTGGAACATCATGTCCCGCAGGGTGAGATCTGTACCTATCCTTTTAGCATCCCAAAAGGCCCTGAAGATCTGCCAACTGGCCTGTAGCCCCAGTGGGGGCATGTCATACTGGAAGTAGACTGAGGTAAGAAGAGCAAGCTTGGTCTAGTGCTGGTGTCGGCAACCTGTGGCCCTGGAGCCACATGCAGCTCTTTGGGCCCTCTGCTGTGGCTCCCTGTTGAGTGATCCTACCCCTTATCCTCCCCTCCCAATCATTCCTCTCCTGGCCTGAGAAGGTAAAACACAAAAAACAGAAATGAGAGGGAGAAAGAGAGAGACCCATTTCCCACAGAAAAGAAAACACCAGTAGCCACAAAACCTGGGGAGGCATGGCATGGCAGGTGTCATGTGACTGGGTGGGAGTGATATTGAGTTGGGTAAGCCCACCCAGGTTTTGAGGCTCCCGTGTTTTCTTTTCTGTGGGAAACAGGTCCAAATGGCTCTTTGAGTGTTTAAGGTTGCAGACCCCAGTCTAGTGGTTAAGGCACTAGGCTAGGAATATAGCCTGGCGCCTTAACCTCTTAACTGAAGACTGTGAATTCTGTTCCCACCTTAGGCATGAAAGCCAGCTGGATGATCCTGGGCCGGCCATTTTCTCTCAGAACCAACCCATCTAGCGTTATTGTTGAGGGAGAATGGGAGGCAGAAGGTGTCTTAGATATCTTCACCATTTTGAATTTGTAAATATAATAAAGGTGGGGTACAAACAAACAAATAAGACCCCACCCCCTCCCCATGTACATCTTGCTTTCTGCCCCCATCTTTGTCAATTTCAATCAAATGTAATATAATTATTGTTTTAACATTTAAGTTTTATATAATATTGGTGTTTTAATGACTATAGGCCGCCTTGAGTCACCTTTGGGTGACATGGGCAGCATATACTTTTAATAAATAAATGAATAAAGATTTATGTGATTTAGGATTAATTTCTGTACATAAAAAGCATGCTCTTCTTGGTTGTATTGTTAAGGCACCAGGCTAGAAAATAGGAGGCTGTGAGTTCAAGTCCCACCTTAGCCATGAAAGCCAGCTGGGTGGCTTTGGGCAGGCCATTCTCTCTTAGCTCAATCCACTTTACAGGTTGTTGTTATGGGGAAAATAAGAGAAGGAAGAAGTAATAAAGGTCAGACACAAATAAAAATGTCAAATATCAAGAACTGAGTATTTGTCAACTATGAGGATGGATGGATGGAATCTATGCAATTTTGCAATAATAGGTGGTTGTTATGCTTTGTTTGTCAACCCTTGAATTAGTTTTTTTGTAACAATATGAGACCAAAAGAAAACTCACACATGCACATATATATGCGTGCGTATGTACCCAATTTTTCATTAATACAGTCAACATTTCTAAGGGTTCTGTTTAAACCTCATTGCCCTACTCTTTCCCCACAACTTTTTAAAAAATTGCTATGCCTGCCCATTTTGAGGGTAATGCTTAATCTTGTTGAATGTTTTTACATTTTTTATTTTTTAGCAACATTTAAAAAAAAACCTGAAAAACAAACCCAGTTGGATGATTGTGG